CACTAAAACATAGACACCAACTTCTCGTTTACACAACAAAATCAATTATTTCTGCTCAGCGAATGGAAAACAAATGATAATTTACCAGTAATAATGATAATCAATTTTATTTAAAGAAAAAGGAAACAAACTATGTAGTAATTTTGCTAGTCTTACCACTAGTCTCTCCTCTTGGCCTTTCTTCACAAGAAAGACTTTTATAAAATGGGGATATCACTATTTTGCTATTTCCAACCAATAATACTATGACACACATGTTAACACTTCAACATAACATAATATTATTGGTTAGGAATAAAAAAATAATATTATCCCCGTTGCAACTAAATTTTTCTTCTTCTTCACGGGTCAAGGCAGACACATTAATTTTCTTCACCGTGTGTAGAAAAGAAAATGTGTCCAAATTCTAGCTCTACTTGTTCTGGCAATTTAGGGGATTTTAATAATACACATTTCAATGGCCCTACAGTTTAGTACAGTTGCACATTTAGACTTTAGTGGCATATCCTGTGCTGTAAATTCTATCTCTGTTTTTTCGTGGCAGCTTCTTCTCCTAGAGTGGCACTTTCTACATTGGCGAAGGATGTCAATGTTAATCTTTCATAAAAAACGATTTGACAGAAAACAAGAAATAAACAAATACATAGAATTGAAAGAAAAAAAAAACTTCATACAAAAACAAATGAAGTAATTTGATTTGTTTTTGTTTTTTATTAACAGAAAGAAGGATGCAAACTCAGAACCTCTTAAGTTGAAATCAGTGTTGATCCTGATTTTCTTCGGAGGTAAACAAGCTTCTTATTTTCTTTAAGTTTTTCATTTGGCCAAACGATAGAAATACTCATTGATCTTTTATTAAAGTCGAATCTTCTTATTTTCTTTAATTTTAAATTAATATTTGGTCACAATAAGTGTGGCTTGTGATTACTGCAATCAAATTAAGTGTGGTTTACTTTGCATGACAGGTCCTTCTGAGTGCCTAAGTTGTCACTAGTGATTTTATAGGTTTGCAGGTATTGATTGCTTACTTTGTGTGTGTGATTGTTGCTAGTCTATGACTCTTAGTTGACTAGTCATATTGTTCTCAAGTTAAGCTAAGATTTGTGTAATTGGTAACTATGCCATTATAACTAATTATTAATTTTCAGCACTCGCAGGTAAAGTAATAGAAACCACTTGATTCCAAATGGATTTGCTAACGTGAGAGTGTTGGATCTGTCACGTGAATAACGTGGACTTGATAACATGTTAATATTTAAGAGAAACTGAAGGAAAATTAAGACCAAAAAATACTGAAGATCAAGATTTTCAATCTAACATTGTTGTTGTTGTTGTTGTTTTATTTATTTTTATTTATTTTTAAGTTATGAAGCGGAGGAGGATTTTCTCACACACACTATCAATGTCCCATGAGTTTTCGAACCTAAAGGCATTGCCATCAAACACACTGTTTTTATATGAGTACAATTTGGCTCTTAGCTAGGCTAACTGACTCTAACTAAGCCCAACTTATCAGCTAACTAACTTTGATAACACTTCATAAGCAGTTATCAACACGTGGCCTCTATTACTCCAACATTTGAGAGAATTTCCCAAATTAATTCGGTAAGTTCAAGGTTAGTGTAAAACTTACAATTCTTGACGTACAAAATATTATATATTTCACATCGAATTCCTTTTCTAATTCATTAGTATTAGCTATGAAAAGGATATATGGACAAAACGTAGTTAGTAACTTCCCAAGAATTGGAACTTCAGATTTCTTAGTAACCAACTGATAATACTAACGAACGGAATAATCTGTTGTGTCCTTACGCTACAACCACAACACATATTATAACATGAAGTAATTTGAAAAACTTTCAAATAGTTGGCTCTCTTGATGAACATTGGAATTTTCTCCAAGGTAACCAAAAGAATTTTCTCCATTCAAAGTACTAAGCAAGTACGGCTTTATAAAATAAGTATATAAAATCACTTCTAGGGAGTACCACTTCTTATGTGCTTCTCCATATAATCACTTTAAGTGATTTTAAGTGATTTTGGACAGAAGCACCTCTCATGTGTTTCTCTATAAAATCACTTAAAACCACTTAAAGTAATTATTTGGAGAAGTAATTCTCCATAGATGTGCTTTTTGACCTATCCAGAATCACTTGCAAACAAGCCTATAGTTTGGTACTGTGGTTCATTATACAGCTTAAATTTATATCATAATGAACTATCCTACTGGTAAGATCTCGTGTCCTTGAGCCACAAGACATAAACTTGACATAAGTTTAAACATCCAAAACATTGCAGCACATTGGAATTTTCACCTCCAAGCAACTAAAGCATTTTTCCAACTAACAAAACTAGGCAACGAAGTACTATGCCGATATAACGAATTATTAATTTCTACGCGTTGTCTGGGGAACATATATAAATAGGAAACCAATCCCCCTTGTTCTCCATCAATCAGTTCTTAGCATTCCTAGAAATACAAAGTTGCTTTAATTTTATTGCTCAATTGGGTCATTTTATACATCTCCTCCATGGAAAAAATAATCAGCCCCAAGAGACTCATTAAAATTGCTAGCAAGTGGCAAAAGAGAGATGCTAAGGGGAGGAACAAAAATTCATCGCCAAGAGTAGCTAACAACAACATGATGAATAATATGGTGAGTGAAAAGGGAACTTTTGTTATCTACACCATTGACAAGACCCGTTTCGTACTGCCTTTAGCCTATCTCTCTAACTGCATTTTCCAAGAGCTCTTCAAGATGTCTGAAGAAGAGTTTGGCCTCTCAAGTGGTAGTGGGCCAATTATCTTGCCATGTGACTCGCTCTTCATGAATTACATGGTCTCTCTTCTCCAGCGAGGAAGGACTGTAGATTTGGAGAAAGCTTTGCTTGCCAACTCTCTCTTCAGCAGTAGCTGCTCAAGTTCTACGTTAATACATCAAGGACAAACAAGAAACCCAACTATTCCTTTGTGGTTACTGCTGAGCACATAAAATCATACTAGAAGTTTTATAAATGAGCGATGGGAGACTTGAACTGAATGTGAATATATGTCTATATGATGTATAATTAATATATCATGGCGATCATGCATTATGTATCTTGATTTTCCTGTTTCATGACTTGTTCTTGTACGTTTGTTTTTAGTTTACAGAGCGATAATGTTTTTAGTTTAAATTGACAAGTTTTCTTTCACAAAAGTTAGTTTTTGTTGTCATTTTGTTATTGTATTTTTATTATTGTGACCGTTAGTATTATCATACTGTTGTTGCTATGGTTATAATTGGTAGAAATTGCTTTTTGGCTAACTTTGGTGGATCAAGAAACTGAAAGTTTTATCCTCTTAATCATATCAAAACCTCTTTTTTTAACTTGAAATGTGCGACTAAGAGGATCTCCAACAATCTCTACAATAGTTTTAGAAAGCTATCAATATTTTCATAAACCTCAGAGATGTAAATTTTGAGAAAAAAAAATAAAAAATTTTAAATTAATATGAACGTATACACAGAGATGAGGTATTACTAGGGGTGGGCATGGTACAAGATGACACGGGATGGAGATCATCCTGGTGTCAATCCCGAATAGGGGAATTGGGATGGGATGACACGGGATGTGAGTTTTTGAGAACACATTCAAACCATACCGGACTCAAACGGGACCGGTATGATTCGGTATCAATGTTGATACGTAAAAAATCCTGCAAAAATTCAGAAACCTTGCAATTTTTATAAATCAAGCCTGATACAAAGTTTACAAACAATCAAGATTCAAGAGTTTGTTTATACACTTTGGGGCTTTCCTTTTCCACCGATTTTATACACTTTGGAGAAGAACACGAAGAGAGAGAGAGAGAGAGAGAGAGAGAGAGAGAGAGAGAGAGAGAGAGAGAGAGAGAGAGAGAGGAGAAAAGAGAAGAATAGAGGGAAGGAAAGGAGAAGAGAAGGGAGACGGAGGAAACAAAGCTGGAGTCGAAATGTTCGTGGGAGAAGAGGAATATGAAATTATTGTTTATTATTTACCTGGTACTGTTCGGTACGGTATGGCACCAAACGAGATCACAAATCTAGAACCGGTGTCATGCTAAATAGTAACAGGATGACATTGTATCATTCCGTTTACACTTCAACACCAAATAGGACGATACGAGATTGGCACGGTTTCGGGACAGTTTCGGTACATTAATTTATAAAGAAATGCTCTCAAACATAACTATTATATTGGAGCAAAGTTCCCAAATACCACTATTATTACACTAGTAAATAGACCATATATAGACAAAATATTGATACTTTAATGTCATATTAAGAGTCCATGGAACTATTTGTTATGGAAATAATGAGGAAATATCGATAGTATCGAGATAATATTGAAATAATTCACTATAGAAATAGTGCTATTTGAGATAATTTTCCTAATTTTTTTTTTTTGGGGTCAGCTCTAGGTTGGTATAAAACCTACAAGTCGTAACATACAAACATTATATTTCACATCTAATACCTTATCTGATTCATCCGTATTAGCTAAAAGCTTTGACAAAGATTTGTGGCAAACTTATTTAGGTACAATTTGATGTTATAAACAATGGAACAAAACGGTTGTTAGATAGGAACGTTCCAAAGATTGGAAGTTATTATAAGATTTCATGTGTCCTAGTAACCAACTGGTAATATTCTCTGACGAACATTGGAATTTTCTCCACAAGGCAACCAAAAGAATTTTCTCCACTAAAAGTACTAACCAAGTGCGGCTTTATAAAATAAGTACATAAACTTGACATACCTCCAAAAATCGTCGGTTGCAACTAAAGGAATTTCCCCCACTAACAAAACTAGGCAACAAAGTACTATGCCAATATAACTATTATTAATTTCTAGCGTTCTCTGGAGAACAAATATAAATAGGAAACCAATCCCCATTGTTCTCCATCACTCAGTCTTTAGCATTCTTGAAAATACGTAGTGGCTTAAGTGCTCAATTAGGTTTTATATAGCTCCATGGACAACGTAATCAGCCCCAAGAGGCTCATAAAAATTGCTAGCAAATGGCAGAAGAGAGATTCTATGGGGAGGAACAAAAATTCAAGCCCAAGCGTAGTTGGCAACAATTGGAAGAATGATATGGTGGGTGAAAAGGGAACTTTTGTTATCTATACCATTGACAAGAGCCGTTTTGTACTGCCTTTATCCTATCTCTCCAACTATATTTTCCAAGAGCTCTTCAAGATGTCTGAAGAAGAGTTTGGAGTCTCAAGCAGCCGTGGGCCTATCATCTTGCCATGTGACTCGCTCTTCATGAATTACATAGTCTCACTTCTCCAGCGACGAATGACTGCAGATTTGGAGAAAGCTTTGCTTGCCATCTCTTTCAGTAGCTGCTCAAGTTCTGCATTGCATAATCATGGGCAAGCAAGCAACCCGGCTCTTCCTTTGTGGCTACTGCTTAGCAGATAAAGCATACTTTGATTTGCAATTTATGTATATGATGTACAAATAATGGACGCCATTGACAAATATATAATGTGTTTGAACCAAAATTTGCAATTTGCCTTAGAATAAAATGGAGGAATTCTTTGAGTTATTATCTTGATTTTTCTTTTAAAAAAATGGAGTGGAATATGGCCAATACGTGGCCAAATTTGCTAGCTCATAACTGCCTGGCCTCAGATTGAATCAATCAAAAGAGTGACTTGCAATGCTCAAATAATGTGATCGACACCTTCATGAAAATTGTTCCAAAAGATATGCAGAACAACATATCCAAATTTTCGGAACAATTGGACTGTCAAACATTGTCAAACACTGAAGCTTGCTCGGAGAAGAGCTAAAACGTGAAGTTGTCGCGGTCCGACCTTCTCAAAGGAGCAACTTGTGATGCTTGTAGTTGATTATCTCATGAAAGTTTGTTTCTCTGGATGTCTACTATAACGTATCCAAATTTGGGAGTAATCGGACAGTTGTAGCATTCTCACTGTATCAAACACTGAAACATTCTGGGAAAGTGTAGCTTGTCCGACCCCTTCAAATGAGCAACTTACAATGGTAAAATGAAGTTGAGTTCCTGAAATTTTTAGAACAACATATCCAAATTTTGGAGCATTCGGACTAGCATAGCCTTCTTAGATTGTCACGCTCTGAAGCATGTTCGAAGAAAGTGTTTGTGACGGTCAGTCAGATTGAACCATGTCTGAATAGAATTTCCCTTGTATTTTTTTTGTTTTTCATTTTCAGTGTTTCATATAGGCTATGCATAGCGAAATACAACTTTAGTGGCTTTCTGTATTTATTTATAAGAAAATGCTCACAAATGGTACTGTTGTTGTAACAAAGTTCTCAGATATAGCCCTATTACTACTGATACTTTATTAATATTTATCTGGGAATATTTGGGATGCAAAAATGTGACAATACAGTAACAATATATAATCGGATTATTCGCTAAAGTAGTCGTACTATTCTATAATTTCTCCAATATTAGTGGCATATGAGTCTATTTTTCCTAATTTATTCAGTGATTAATATAAAACTTACGATTCTTGACGTATCTATAAATAATATTATATTTCACATCCAATTCATCCGTACTAGCTTTGACATGGATTAATTTGTGGCAAACAAAGGTTTTATGCTATAACCAAAAGAAGGGTAGTTCAACGGCAACATTCCAAAGATTGGAACTTAAGATTTCTTGTGTCCTAGTAATGACCAACGGCAACAATCTATTGTGTCCTTAAGCCACAAGACATCATAGAATGGCATGATTTCAAACAAAATCCAAGACTTGTCTATATGATGAACATTGGAATTTTCTCCACAAGGCAAATAAAACAATTTCCTCCCCTAAAAGTACTAATCAAGTACGGCTTTGTATGACAAATACATATCCTACCGATAAAACTTGACATCATTTTGAACCTCCAAAAAGTGTCGGTTGCTAAACTTTGAAATTTTCACCACAAAGAAAACTAAAGGAATTTTCTCCGCAAACTAACAGGAGAACAAATATAAATAGGAAAGCAATCCCCATTGTTCTCCATCAATCAGTCTTTAGCATTCTTGAAAATACAGAAAGTTACGTACTCACTACTACATTTTACTATTTGGGCGACGAAAGTTTGCGCGACGAAGTAAAATTCGTCGCGCAAAAAACACTACAGCGACGAAATTTTTTTTCGTCCCCCAAAAACTGGAAACTTGAGCGACGAAAATCTCAGTCGCGCAAAAAGCGTTCGTCGCGCAAAGTGGGAAAGAAAAGGGTTGGTTTTTTTTTTGGCGCCAAACCTTTGCGCGACGACAGAGTTGGTCGCGCTAAGAACCTCTGCGCGACGGAAAAATTTCTTCGTCGCGCAAAGTGTGGAACGGAAAACAAGGTTGATTTTTTTTTTGCCAAATATTTGCGCGACGATAGCAATCGTCGCAAAAGGCATCATTGCGCAACGATTTTTCTTTCGTCGCGCAAAGAAGGAGAGAAAATGGCGGCAAATACTTGCGCGACGGACGTGTGGTTCGTCGCGCAAGGTTTGATGTCGGCACTATCTTGTGCGATGGAAAGTTTCGATTGCGCGACACGTTTACGAGTTTGCACGACAAAGTTTTGCGCGACGACACATTTTTTCCGTCACCAAAAACCTGATTTCTTGAGCGACGAAAACGTTATTCGTCGTGCAAAATCCTTCTTCTACATATCTGCAATCTGCCATTGCAGAGGCAGATTGCTCCATTTTTCGGCCATTTCGATTTTTCCTCTGTCTGTGCTGCTACCTCTGCTAACAATTCAATACGCTCATTGGGTAAGTATTATTTGTCATTTGTTTAAAAGTATTAATGTAAATTCGTACTAACGGTATTATTTTTTTTTTTATTATAGATATTTGTAAATTGCGATTGTGGAGAACGATTGAGAAAGTATTTCATTCATTTTATATTAAATTCATTACATTATGTTGAACTTAGTTTGTTATATTTATATATTTTGTTGTTGAATTTATTTATATTATGTTGTTAAATTGTGCGTGACGTAGCACAATGTGTTGTGATGTACGAAGTTAAT